AGCAGACCCCTGCTATGACGGCCCCTGCCCCTGCCCTCCCTGTAATCCTGACCCGTAGGCTCTCTCCTCATCCATCCCCAGGAGGAGCTCCATGCACTCCAGCTGGTCATTGATACAGAGGGCAATGCCCCCTCCTCATCTGCCCTGCCTGTCCTTCCTAAAGAGCCTGTACCCTTCCATCTCAACACTCCAGTCATAGGAGCTATCCCACCATGTCTCCGTAATGCCAATAAGGTCATACCCTTGCAGACACACACACGTCTCCAGCTCCTCTTGTTTGTTCCCCATGCTCCGTGTGTTTGCGTAGAGGCATTTCAGTTGTGCTCCCGATGAGGCTGACTTACTGGCTGGAGTGGCAGGAATTCTTTTGATGTATCTTCCCAGCGTTACCCTGTTGGTTCCTGTTGCATCAGGGGCCCCTGGTTCATCTCGTCTAGGTTTTGAGCGTGCTCAAATCCAGGGGCAATAATTTAGGCAGCATGGTCAGAAATGTTCTTATGTAATTCTACGTAATCGTATTTTGCTATTGTAAACAATGTTGCCTTGAAATTTGAATAAGGCTTTCTCACTTCTCTTTCAAATCACTGTGTATTACATAATATGGTTATATCTGTCATGACTAAAGATGTCTGCATGTAAGCAGTGCTTGTAGTGCTCTTGGAATGTTTTAGTTTTAAGCCAGTTTTCGAATATTTTTCTAGAGCATTTTGACAAAAACATGTTTGTTATTCCTAGTACATGTACATTTTTGAATACATACTGGTTTTAATTGTTTTAAAAATCTTTTGCTGATTTAGAAAAGGCAGCCAAACTTCTTGTATGCTTTTTTGTTCAGTCTTGACAGATGCATAGGGTATAACTTAGGTCATCTGAAAATTATTTGCAATGTACTTCTGTCAGTGTAGGGGAACCCTGTTGCCTTTCCAATTGTTTGCTGCACTTTTCAGTCATTCCTCCTGCCGTTTTATACTCTTGTCATGCCTCCTCACTCAAGAGAAGTGAAGAAGCTTAAAAAGGCAGAATGTCTTTCTTCCTGCTGGTTGGATAAGTGCCATACTGCCTCAAAATCAAAGAGTGTAGCTGCATCTTGTTGGCCTGTGGGCTTGGTAAATATAATAGTGTATCATTCGTTATTAGGTAATTGAATGGCATATGAAGATGGAGGAACTCCATCTGCAGGAACTTAAACTCAATCGAGAGTTAGTCAAGCAAAAGGAAGAGGTGAAGTATTTACGTAATATAATTTCTGAATATGAACGTACAATCAATAATCTGGAGGAAGAAATTGTACAGCAGAACAAGGTATGTATTTCTGTATGCTATTAGAAAAACAGCCTATTCCTTATTTCGCTCAGTGATTTTTAAAAAGGAAGATTCTTCTTACTAAGTTTTTAACACAGATGTTTGTATCTTGGTTCCATAATTCTTTTTAACAGAACATTTGAGTATTTTACATTTTGGTATCCCCCCCCCCCCTTTTTTTTTTTGTGTTTAAGTTGGTCATAAAATTCCCATTGCCTTCAATAAATAGAATACCTTTATCAAACATTTGTTACAGTTTCATGAAGAAAGGCAAATGGCTTGGGACCAGAGGGAAGTAGAACTGCAGCGCCAATTAGACCTGTATGATCATCAACAAAATGAAATATTTAGTACAGCTCTAAAGGTAAATTTACTGAATTAACTAAAAATAGACTCATAAGCACGTTTTTCGGAGCTGTCAGATTACATGAATATGAATCTTTCTGTGCAGTTAGAAGAGGCTACAGGATCAGTTCCAGACCCTAGTTTGCCACTCCCACAACAACTTGAGTTGGCTTTGAGAAAGATTCAGGAGCATATTCGAACAATCCTGGAAACTAGAACAACCTGCAAATCACTGGAGGAGGTAATTAAATATATATATTATCATATAAAGGGACAACATCTGTATTTCTATGCCCTTTAATTTTTTTTATATACAATAAATATCCTTTTATAAATGTCACTCGAATGTGACCAATCGCTTAGAATTATTTAACACAGAGCAAATGTAAATAATATAATCACACCAATATTTTTCCGTGGGAACAAATTATTGGGGACATTTTTTGAATATTTTAGAATAATCATTTAGTAGGGTAAGATGCTTTTGCTAATCAAAATTCAGTTGACTATAGCTAGTTAAATTTAGCAAGCGTTACATTAAATTTAACAAGTAGCATAACAAAATCTTCTTATCTTTGGTTGCTAAACTGAAACTCTGTTACTGAAGATACTTTGTGGTTCTTCTTAATTTGGTATCACAAAATGAGTGTCTTGTGCGAAGCAAATAACAGATAAAGACACGGTAATGATATTCTGGGACTTTTTTTATCTAATAGTAATCCCATACAGCCAGAACTGAGTGCGAAATGTTTTCTGTTTGTAAGTCCATTTAGACAAATCTTTATGGTATGTTTTTTTAAAAAGTAAGATCTTTCTGCAGTGTTTGAATTTTGGAAATGCAACAATTGCCTTTCGTTGTAGAAATTAAAAGAAAAGGAAACTGCTCTGTGGAAAGCTGAACAAAATGTTTTATCAAGAGACAAAGTTATAAATGAACTAAGACTTCAATTACCTGCAACATCAGAAAGAGAGAAAATAATGGCTGAATTAAGCAAACAAGAAGATGATCCAGAGTACCATCGTGCCGTAAAAATTGCTCATCAAACCATCACAAATATGCAAGCAAGATTAAATCAAAAGGAGGAAGTGTTAAAAAAATACCAACATTTGCTTGCTAAAGCAAGAGAGGTAGTTAAAGTTTTTGCACAAAATTTCTTTCATTTTTAAGTTGTTTTATTTGATTCTTTGTTTATCTCATTGCTAGTGAAATCTTTAAAAGTGTCTGACCTCAGGTAACAGAACAGAGACAGTAATTGTTATGTAGAAAGTTCATGTGGAATTTTTTAACTTCTTAAAATAGGAGGCTTGCTCGGTCACAAGGTTATGTATATGATGTCTGTCTAGGAATTAAATTAGTGTGACAGGAAGAAAATTAAAATTCTGCTATGAGAAATGGTCTCAGTATATTGTATATTTATATGGGATTTTCCAGTACTTGCAACAATGATCTCTGTACTGCATCTTGTAGTGAATTTGGAAGGTACAGCAAAGATGCATTTATCAAAAATATGCTTCTTAAAGCATATTTTAAATTAAAGCATATTTTAAATTAAAGCATATTTTAAATTAAAGCATATTTTAAAGCATAAACCTTGTGTATAAGAGCTATTTCGAGACTAAACATGCATCAGTCTTAGTGTGTTTGAATCAGAAGCACATTTCCAAAGCGAACTTCTTATCATCTTCGCTTAGTGTGCTCTGGTTAACATGTGTAGCTTTTTCTTCTGCGAGAAATCAAGTTTTTTTGTTTGGAACTAAATCAGAAGATGCAGTCTAAAAATGAGCCTACTGTGCTCTGTCTGCCAGCAGACATTCATTTCACAGGATCACACTATAGTCCAAAGTAAACAGACCTGAAAACTATATAGTATGGATATCACTGTCCATATTGATAATCGTAGTTGGTGAGGACCAACACCAACTGTTTTGCTCTCCAGCTCCTGTCCTGGTGCACCATACTACTTCCTAAATAGCTTAAAACTGCAATAGTAGCTTTTTTTTCCAATAGTGTGCAAAAGGAAAAAAAAATCATTTATTATAGCAAGAAGAAAAGAATTTTTAAAACTGCCAGAATTAGAGAAAAATTTGGGGAGCAAAACTGAGCAATGAGTGAGAAATCAACATGAAGATACTGTAGTTTCATGACTTTCTGGAATAGTGTGCATCAGTAGAGTTATATTTTTATTTTGAACTAACAGGAACAAGAGGAAATGGCAAATAAGCATGAGGAAGACCTTAGAGTTCTACACCAGAAGTTAAATTTGCATACTGACAATTCCCTTAATAAATTCAAACAGACTGCTTTGGTGAGTAATGTGTATTTGTGGAATTATTTACATTGTTCCCAGATTTTTAAAATTGTTGCCCAAAAGAACAGTTTTGCAGTCAAAAGTAAGTAATAAATGATGACAGGATAAGCAAATGGGTGGTTGATACAGAATTATTGTATTCTTGAGAGAATTCGCAACAGATGGATTAGAAGTGAAATGTAAAAAAACCAAAGTTACCAGCTTATGAGCATTTTTTGTATCATCCTGATTTATGGAGATTTCTAGGAGAGAAAGGTGTATTTTGTTTTCTGTTCTTTTCATTCAGTCTGTGGTTATGTTCAGCTAACCCATTTCAGTACAAATTTTCTCTTGACACTTCAGGCTAAGGTGAAACCTGTATTTAACTGGTTATTCTGAGGATCATTAGATCCACAAAGCTCTCTTCAAACCAGTGTGGCTACTTTCTCTGTGGACTAATAATCCCATCTCAGTAAATAAACATGTTAGATATTAATACTTGGTTATATTCAGGATTTAGTTTAAAATGCATCACTAATGCTTATCTTTGATTTAAAGTTTAAAATATTTATCACGTGCATTTGTTCTGTTTTACAGGAGTTAGTGAAAAAGACTTCTTTATCACTTTCCAACAACAAATATTTTCTCCACTTGGCTGAAATGGAGCAAACTGTAGCAGAACAGGATAATTCTCTTGCTTCACTTGTTGGAAAATTAAAGAAAACATCATCTGATTTGGAGAAACAAAAACAAATTACTTTAATGAAAATCAAAGAGTTTGAGACTGTCAGAGCCCAGTAAGTTTTTTAGGCTGTTAACATAAGTCATAATTGGATTGAATCAAGTCAGTTATGTATTGCTGCTACAGGACTCGTCTATCAAATTGAACATGTTTTTGCTGAATTTAAGATTTGGCTAAAATACTAACTCAGAAGAGTTACTATGGTTGGAAATTGTAAATTATCTTTAATCTGTAGCCCTTCATCAAGGCTAATATAGCAAAACTGGCTATATTAGCTTGGAAAAATGCCTTTCAGTTGTTAGCTTTGTCCCATTCAGTGGAAAAGAAAATATTCAAGGAGCCTTGGTATGAGAGTTGTCTTTAAGCTACTGTGATACTTGCTGGTTTGTGTGTGCGTTGGGTTTTTTTCCCTGATACATCCATTTGGGCTTGCTGCCTAACAAGTTTAAAATCATGAAAATTCAACCTCTGTTTAAAAGGAAAAAAGCATGATGCTTTCTTTACCTGTTAGGACCAGGAATTAGAATGAACAATGCTCTAATCTCATTTTGCTAATCTTCTTCAGTAATTTTTCTATTAAATGGAAGCCATCTTTATTGAGTCAGTCTTTTTTTTGCTCTTTCCAAATCTATATGTCATTTGCTTTAACAATAATAAAAATATAACATTGTGCCTTTTGGTATTTATTTGGAGTTTGCTAACTTAATTATTGCAGTGTACCCTATTAATGCTTATTTTTTATTAGGCTTCAAGAAAAGCACACGGTTGATGTGGAACAACTGAAAGATGAAGCAAATGAATTGAGGAACATGTTATCTCAGATGGAGAAGGAGTTAGCAAATGTAAAAGCTGAACTAGAGGTTCAAAAAGAAGCAAATAATAGAGCACCCACAGCAACACTGAAAAACCTGGTGGAACACCTGAAGAGCCAGTTAGCCATAAAAGAGAAGCAACAGAAAGTTAGTCAACAAAAATTAATCCCTATGTCACATAAATGTTTTATGTTGCTTAGTGCTTAAGAATTCTATGTATAGTACAGCAGGAGGTAGAATATAATTGCATAATATAACATAGTAAAATATAATTGCCTTTTCTTGTAATCTTCATATTAGCAGCTTCTTCACTTAAAAGAACTTGAATTTATTATTTTCAGGCTTTGAGTAAAGCACTTCTAGAACTCCGAGCAGAAATGACTGCTAATGCTGAACAGCAGATTATTTCTGCTGCATCACAAAAAGAGGCATATATGAATGTCCAGGAGATTGTTGACAGACAAACAAAGGAGCTTATGGTGAGTACTAGGTAATATTGTATTGCAGTGTTGTATTGTTGATTATATTGATTTGGGGGGTTTGCTGGTTTGTTTGCTTGTTTGTTTGTTTTCTTCTAGACACAGATAGAGGAATTAAATAATCAGATCACAAAACTTACATATAACCTAAAAATAAGTAAAACCAGGGAAAGTTCTTTGTCTGATGAAAGGAATGAATTGAACCAAGAACTTCAGAGGAAAGAAAAAGCATTTGCTAAAATGTTAAGAGAAAAAAATGAAATCGAGAAAGAAAATGAAGAACTGAAGAAACGGATTAGGAGGCTAAGCAGTACCATTCAGGTAGAAGTGATTTTTAAGAATACATTCAATGTTGGTCAAGTTTCTGCATAGATGTGCTGAGAGGAAAGATTAAGTGCTTTTGGCAGGCACTGAGACTTACACTATTTAAAAAGTTATGTTTGCTCATCAGCTGGGTTGCACGTGAGCTATTAGCTTTTGCTGTTGGAAGCATGCCTCAAATAAAAGGAAGAGATTGAAAAATACTTGCTCTCTGAAATATGTTTGCAAGAGTCTGAGGAATTGAACTGCTGCTTTCAAAGCTTCTTTGAAAAATGGATTTTTGTGATCTTCCTGGCTGTCATTATTTCCCTTTTCAGAAGAAAAGGGAAGGATTTACAGTAGAATTGTCTGATTTATTTTTTTGTAATTCAGCTACTTGCTGGTGATTATTCAGTTTAGAATGCAAAGTTATATTCAAATACTTTAATAATTTAAAGATACTTTTAAAAAGATCATTTAGGTCATAAACTAATTCTACCTATTGGAATTAAAGTCCTTATTTTTTGAGTGGAGGGAAATACTTAGGTAGTGTTCATTAAACTTTAAGTTTCTAAAAGTTTGTAATTTTTCAGAGCAAAGCTGATGAACAAAATCTGATTGATGCACTTCAGAAAAAAATTACAAAGTTGGAAAGTGAACTTGAGAAGAAGTGTGAAGAAACAGAAAAAAAAGGTGTAAGAGAAGACAAGGTATGTGATATTTAGATCATGGCTTAGAAAGGCACCATCAGCCTAGGTCTAGGCTGTTCAACTCTCCCTATTGCCTCTAAAAAACCCCAACCAACCAAGCAAACTTAATCAGAACAAAAGCAGTTTCATGACTGTAACTTCATGTTTCCCATGCTCTTTGTTACTGCTCTTGGTGCTTAGTACCAGTATATTAATGTTTTCCTGCCATTGTTGTAGAATTAAAGATCCCTTACAAATCTTAGAAAACTAAGATTTTATAGGTAGCAGTGAAATCGATTACGTAAGTGCTGTCAAATGTGCATTTGTGAACTCAATGCAATGATAAAACCATGAAGTACTTCAGAGCAAAAGTGTGAATCCTAAAAGGGATGATGTCTGTATAAGTGATTGTTCTCACAATAGTGATCTACACATAGAGGAGGTTCTGAGCGATTGGAGATATGTTTGTTTTACCAGTTGTTTTGTTTGGTTTTTTGCTTGTTATTTTACTACTTCAGTAACTAATTAGTGGCTTATCATAGTAATCATAAAGTATACTGGAATATTATAGCATGCTTGTATAATGACGTTCAGACTATTTATGATATCAAATATTATTCTAGGACTTCACTTATGCTTCCAATTAATTCGAGGCTTTTTAAATGCCTGTTGCTTAGTGTCTAGAGATATTTTTCTCAAACTTGGCATGTTTTCTTTTCCTTTTTCCAAGATTTTGCTGTCTGTCCCTTAGTAGCAGTAACTGTTTAGAATGAAGACAGAAAAGGAAGTACAGGGGCTAACTGGAGAAGGGAAAAGTCCATTTAAAATGAAACAAAAATTGCTTATTGGAATATTGACTAATTTTTCAGTAGCCATTTGTGATCACATAGGTACAGTTTTTAACTCAAGTATAATTTATCATTACTGAATTGTAACTTTAAGTAGAGACTCCATTTCTCATAGGAAAAATAAACTAAAATGACCAATTGTACAGCTGTGCAGCAGGGACATATAAACTGATGAGCTGCAGAAGACAGATCTGCTGTAAAGTGGCATAGAAAAACACTACTTCTTTTAATCTGTCTTCTTTACTAACATGTAATTCGAAGTGAAAGGATACATTGCACTAGCACCTCTAATTTCATAAAATGTGTCACTCCTTTTTTGTGAAATGAATATGAAAAGCTAAGGAAGAATTTGGTAATAGCATTAAACTGCATCAGCTTTATATATCAGTTGATACAGCATTCTTAAGGTATCCAGCTGGGCCTGCTATTTACCTTATGGCAAATAAGGTAGATAATACATGCCTGCTATAGGTACATGTCTTAAAGTGATAAAAGAAGAATATATAATTCTTGATTTTCTAACGTGTTTGCTTTTTTTTTTTTTCCCTGTTTCTTGTTTGTCTGCTTCACAGACCTCCAAGGAGGAAATAATTAGATGGGAAGAAGGTAAAAAATGGCAAATCAGACTGGAAGGATTGCGGAACAAACTAAGGGAAAAGGAAAAAGAAGCAGATGCTTTAGCCAAACAGTTGAATACATTGAAGGAAATTTATACCAAGTGAGTTGGTTTTAATAGATTCAGCTACAAAATGATGACATAAGGGAAATCCAAATATGTTTGCCACATAATAATTATAACAGTTTGTTATGTTTATAAGATTGATGTCTAGAATTTGGCATTGCTATTGAGATTAAAAAGATTAGTTAATTCTCAAGCAGAGAGCTATTCCTCTAATATCCTTTCCCTTCTAGAAGCTAACAACCTTTATTAGAAGAAACTGTCTCTGAATAAGACAAATTAAAGTCCTTTATTATGCTTCTTGTATATAGTATTCTGTTATTCCCATGAAACAAATAACAGCTTTATGAGGACAGGCTATTTTTCACTGCTGTGTTATTTAACCAGGGTTGCTAGGACTGGATGCTGTGCTACTGTTATGTGTAGTGCTACTGCAGTACTGATGGTTCTAGGATTATGAGATAGAAGCCTTTAAAAAAAACACATATGCAAACCCTCTGCAAATCTTACGGTTACTTCAGTATAGTCATGGCAGGGTTTTACTGATAAAAGATGCAGAAGAGAGAGGAAACTGTGATTGTGATTGTAGCTGCTGTTAGATTGTGATTTGAACCTGCTTCAAAATGGCATTTATTCTTAGCAAGACTTGCATGAAATTCACCTAAAACACAGGCAAGACCAGCAAGTGGTTTATGACATGCATGATACTGACTTAATGTTCATTGTTTTTTCCAGGCTTAGTTGTTTTTTGTTTGTTGGGTTTTTTTACAGTAAAGCTATACTGTCTATAAGATAACCTTATTAAACAGAAAAGGGAGTGTGGTTCAGTGAGCAAATAAATTGCAAATGTGAATTCTTTAAGACAGAAAATATTTTCTCCTAAAGAAAGCAAGTTAGGAAATAAAGTTTTAAATGTAAATTTACTGGATGTTGCAGGACTGAGAAAGACAAAATTGCTCTACAGAAGAAACTGAAAATTACTGGTGTCACTGTTGACCGTGTTGTTGGAGTAAGAGCCTCAGAGACTGAAAAAGAACTGGAAGAACTAAGAAAACGCAACCTAGATTTAGAAAATGAAATTGCTCACATGAGGTGAGAGGCATTTTAAAATAATCTATAAAGACTAAAAAATCTAAATGAGAAAAAAATCTGTGAAAAGAGAAAGATAGTCTCTATTAGACCAACTGATTCAATAAGGAAAAAAACAGGCAGGAATTTCAAAACTCCTTCTCCAAGTCTGTGATTAGCAAACTTAAAACTACTTCAGAGCAATTATGCATGTTCAGAGAAGATGCAGCATTGGTTCATTATTCTAAAAAGCTAAATAATATAAAAAACGTCTGGCTCCTATTGTGTAAAATTATAATTACAATTTAAAGTTGGTGAAAGTTACTGGAACTGCTAATTTGCAGTTAGGGAATGTATTCTTAATTAGTGTATCCACTATCACAGTGGATAGCGTACCTGAGTAGTGGAAGCTGTGCACGTCTCAAAAGAACAGATTCCTTTTGCCAACATACTTTCAATTCACAGGGATTATTTGAAATAGTGTATGTGGCTAACATTGGTTTAGAATAACTACCTCAGAAATACTAGAAGATCCAATCTAGTAATCCAGAAGTTCATGGGTTTTTAGCTTAAGGAATGTTTTTTCTGCATTAATAGCCATTTGTTTTGGCTTGATTAATTTTTTGATGTAGAACACAACAAGCAATCCCACGAGATTCTGTTGTAGAAGAATTACATTTCAAAAATCAATACCTCCAGGAAAAGCTTCATGCATTACAGAGACAGCGTTCAAGAGAGACATATTCTAGACCCTCGGTAAGTTAATAATGCAACCATATTACTTAGAAGAATCACACCTACTTAACAAAAATATTTGTTATCCCTTTAGTATTCTGTGTCATTTAGCTGGTTTTATTTCAAATTATAGTATTCTAGAACAGGATATGAAATACTCAGCTTTTAATGTTTTTTAAAAAAACACAACAAAACAAACCCAAAAAAAACCCCTCAAAACCAAGATTTACGGTTTCTCTGTTTTACAGGTAGAAGCTGAAATATTCAGCATCCTAGCATATGTGGAGAAATAAAGGATATATATTTTTAAATATGTGACTCTGAAACTGAGAGACTACTTTTACATTCCATATTGATTGAAAAATTGGGATGCACAGAATTTGCAGAAATACTGAGCAGTTATTGTTGTGATTTTGGTGATTTTGTTGTGTTTTGATTTTTACAAGGTTTGTTGTATTGCAAATATTGCATTATTGGGTTATCTTAGTCTTTCAAGAAATAGATTTGACAGTACATTCTAGCTTTTCTTTATTTCCTGCTTTGTTTTACTGTCTTCTTTTCTTTCATGCTTCATTCTGTCTTCAATTTGAATCAGAGTACATGTGACCAAACTGAACTAACCAAGTCTGTTCCTATCGGTATTGGTAAACAAAAGTATTTGAATTCCCTTCAAAAGAAACCTATTTCAAATAGAGATGAAATCAAACATCAGACTAATCACAGCATTACTGATGGCAATGAAATAGATGAGGAAGCAGACAAGCAAACATGCATCATGCATGATGAAGGCCGTGAGGCTACTGCAGATGCAAGCACGGAAGTGTCTCCTGGACAGAATCCTGAAGATAGTGAGAAATGCAAGGACACAGATATTGCTAGGGATGGATTGAAAAACAAAAATATAACTGAAGCTGATGAGGAGAACTGCATTGAAAAAGAAAATATAACCCAGCCTGAAAATGGAAAACTTCATGAGGAATTTGAAGAGGAGAGGAAGCAAGAAATACTCAAGCAATCAAATGTTGATGAAAGTGTAGAAGAGCCTTATAGTGACAGAATGAGCTGCAATCAGTCTGATCCAGGGGAACCTTCTAATCAAGCTGATGACTATGAAGCAGAAAAAATAAATGTGAATAATGAAATGAATCAACACACTGCAGAGGACAAACATCAGACTTACCAAAGTGATACAGAGGGGGTTGAAACAACCCCAGAATTTTGTGAAATGCCTAAGGTTTGATACTGTAGCAGTCCTCTAGCATTTCTTCTGTAGAAATGATGTAGAAATAGAATAGTTTGATCTTGATAGTGCAGTGGTTTCCTATGCATGGTCTGCAGGGATATTGAAGTAGTCACCAAGTGATCCATAAATCAAACCGTATACTTTCACGATAGGCATACTTGTCAGCTCACAAGTAAGCTACTATCAATTCTAAAATTGTGATCCAGGAAGTTTACAAATGATCACACTGATACGTGCAGCTAGTTGATGACTTTCATTCTTTGAGACATATGATGTGTTATTACTTACCTTAAGAAAAAATATACTTTATTGCTATCATTATTAGTGATGAATTAATGGATCGTATGGTTAATTTCATAATTACATAAGTAAAACCTGTTGATTATTATATAACCAACAGGTTTTACTCTTTACTAGTCAGGCTTAATAATTACTGTACACTTATGGTTTGAATTAGCAATATAAGGTATGCAAAGCACTCTGTATGTAATAGAAATTACTAGTCTCCATGGATAAAGACTTAAGATAGTAAGAACTAACAGACTGAGAACTAGAGTTATGTACTACTCTTCCTGACTTGCTCTGTGATCTGTTTGACTTCAGTGAATTTCCTTATCACCATATGTACTATTTAATAAACATGTCAGAATATGTCCCTAAAATTAGATGCTGTTCCCAGGTACAGTGTCACAGCTGACTACACTCAGCTTTTTTTGTCTTTTAGACTTTGAGATTTAGTTCTACCCAATAATTTGATAGTTAATTTTGGTTTGACAAAATTTTTACTGGGTTATACTGATTTGTAAACTTCCCTTAAAGGTTAAGCAAGTTTAGAAAATGTCAGAGGAGGAGTTAGAGCAGATTAGATCAAAACTGGTGATACAACTGTCATCTGTTTTATTTCTGTGAAAAATACTAATTCTCTGTTGCTTTTTATCAGTTACAACTGATACAATGACTAGTGTATTACCACTTAATAACAATTTTTTTTCCCCTCTGTTTTCTCCAGACATCAGGAATAGGATCAGATGATCAATATCGAAGAGAACAAGAGGCTTTAAAGGAAAATTTAAGATTGTCAACTGAAAACATTGAGCTAAGATTCCAGCTAGAGCAGGCCAATAAAGATTTGCCAAGACTAAAGGTAACATCTTTCTACCTGTAGTCACCTTTACCCTTGCACAGGTTAGAGGATTGCTTGAAAGAGAAATGGATATCTTTTCTGTACATACTGTCAGTTTTTCATATTTTTATGGAAGATGAGAAGGTTGAATGGCTGGTAGAAATGATGAAAAATGTCATTGCAATGGGAAATTACTTTCTCCTTACATTTTTCAAAGTAAACCAACCGTAATTTTGTTACTGTTCACCTCAAATTGAAGTCTATACAAGTTGCTTATTACTTTGGTTTTGTAGGACCAAGTAGGTGACTTAAAAGAAATGTGTGAACTTCTCAAAAAAGAGAAAGCAGATGTTGAACGAAAGCTGGGCAGCATTAGAGGGGTGAGTATTGTAACAGCATTTTTCGTCATAATTAAATGAAATTGAAATAGAAAAAAAGCAATATTTTATTAAAGCCAAATTATGAATTATATGAAAAATGAAAATTATATTAATGTATTTATGTTAATGCATAATACAATTAAAACTTTATGATGTAAAAGATAGGATTTTGATTTGATGCAGATGTTAGAAAGTGTCAGTTAGTGAAGTTTTTTGTTTGTTGTGCTGTGCAAGATGAGACAGTTAAATTTTACCCTAGCTACTGTAAGCTACTTTAATAGAGCAGTATTTCAGAAGTTATATGGGAAAAAAGGCTTCAGCAGTGCCCAGTATCTGTCTTGCCAGTAACTTGTCAAACTATTTATGTGACCTTTTAAAGGAAACTGCTTTAATAAAAACTCTTAAGTGGCTTCATAGCTCTTTCAGTGTACAAGAAGAATGGGTTCTGCTTATGGGTACCTGGAAGAGATTGTATATTTCCCATTCTTTTACTTGTACCTTGCATGGAGTGTTTGTGTATCTGCCTGTCTCTTATGCAGTGACAGTTTTTGGATAAGGAAATAATGGATTGAGAGCAGCCTTGAAGAGAAGGACTTGGGGGTGTTAGTTGAT